GTCAAACTCAGCTGTTCTGGATAGTGCTTGTACAGCAACTGTTGCTGGTGAAGCTTGGATGAACTGTTACCTAGACTCACTTGATCCTTCTGTCCGTGAAAAAGTACTTGAAATGCCGAGTGAAACAAAGTTTAAATTTGGTGGTGGGACAGTTCTTCAATCTAAGAAAATTGTCAAGTTTCCCTGTGTCATTGCTGGTACAGAATGTGAAATACAGACTGATGTTGTAAGTAGTGATATTCCTCTGCTACTCAGTAAAGACTCTATGAAGAAAGCCAAAGTAAAACTTGACCTTGAAAATGACTGTGCTTCCATATTTGGAAACGATGTACAGCTTCAGAGTACGTCTTCTGGTCACTACTGTGTGCCTATAAATCAGATTAATGTGAGTGTTGAAGAGACAAAGTTAGCGTTAGTAGCTTCAAAGGAAACAGAGTTGAGTGATGTTATACGCAAGTTACACAAACAGTTTGCGCATCCTTCAGCGAAGCGTTTGAAATCCCTTTTGCAGGATGCTGGGGTGTATACAGATGAGCATATGGCATATGTTGATAAAGTGAGTGAGAATTGTGAGTTGTGTAAACAGTACAAGAAGACTCCAGCACGACCAGTTGTCTCCCTTCCACTAGCAACAGAATTTAATGAAGTAGTTGCAGTTGACTTGAAAGAATGGAAGCCTAATGTATATTTTCTGCATCTCATTGATGTAGCAACAAGATTCAGTCTTGCAGCTGTTATAAGGAGGAAGACACCAGAGGTTATCACAGAGAAAATCATGAAATTGTGGATTGGCAGTGGTATGGGTCCACCAAAGAAATTCCTAGCAGACAATGGTGGTGAGTTTGCTAATGAAATCTTTCGAGACATGTGTGAAAACCTGAACATTGAAGTCTTGAACACAGCTGCGTACAGTCCATGGCAGAATGGAATATGTGAAAGAAATCATGCTGTTGTTGATAACTGTGTAGAAAAGATTCTAGAAGATCAACCTAACTTGAACTTGGAAATTGTCTTGTTGTGGGCTGTGAATGCAAAGAATAGTCTGTCAATGGTGTATGGTTGGAGTCCATATCAACTTGTCTTTGGTGCTAATCCAAATTTGCCTTCAGTTCTTACAAATAAGCCACCAGCACTTGAGAATACTACCATTAGCCGAAAGTTTGCCGAACATTTAAATGCACTTCACTCAGGAAGACGTGCATTCATTCAAGCCGAATCCTCTGAAAGAATCCGAAGGGCACTGAGGCACAAAATCAGGGCATCTGGAGAATGCTATCAGCATGGAGACCGGGTGTACTACAAGCGTGATGATGACAACAAATGGAAGGGGCCAGGAACAGTTATAGGTCAGGATGGCAAAGTTGTCTTCGTTCGACATGGAAGTGTATTGTCAGAGTACATCCTTGTCGTTTAATAAGATGTGGATTAGAGGGTCAAGTTGAAATGAATCAAGAATCACAAAATGAAAATGGTAAGCCTCAACAACAAAATGAGAAGCAATATAACAGTCTTAATATTGATGACGAAAATACGCAAGATTTGCTGGCAGAAGATGATAGACAACAACCCAGAAATGAGGACATAGACTTGCAGGTAGATCAAGATGAGAGTCAACAACCAAATAATGAGGACATTGTCCCAGTTGAACCAAATTTGCCAGTTGAAGAAAGACATGACATCATACGACAAAAGAAGAGTATTCCAAATGTTGGTGACAAAATAGAATTCCAATTGCCTGGTGATCCTAGGTGGGTAAAAGCCAAAGTGCTCAGTCGTGGCGGAAAAGCAACTGGGAAGAATTGGGCATACTTGAATGTACAGGAAGAAAACAAGGATTCACCATCTGGTATAGACTTTAAGAAAGATGTTCAAAACTGGCATTTAAGTGAAAATACTAATGAAGTGCATTCAGTCTTTGTTCCAAGTGCTAGACACAGTGAAGATGAAGTGCTATGTGCCATGAAAAAAGAACTAGACAATTGGCAACAGTTCAATGTTTTTGAAAGGGTTCCATATTGTGGACAAAAATTAATGTCCACTAGATGGGTGATTACTGAGAAGGAATCAGGAGAAGAACGCACAGTGAAAGCAAGATTGGTGGTTCGTGGATTTGAAGAGGAAACACCTGTGCAGTCTGACTCCCCGACTGTTCACAAGGAGAGCCTTAGATTGTTCCTTGCAGCTGCAGCTACACTAGGCAATGACATACACTCAATTGATATCAAAGCGGCCTTTTTACAAGGTCAGGTCATAGACAGCGTTATCTATGTTCAACCTCCAAAAGTATGTGAATCAGATACTTCTGTTGTGTGGAAGCTGAACAAGTGTGTATATGGGCTTGTTGATGCATCGAGAAACTGGTTTCTCAGTGTGAAGAAAGAGCTCCAACTCTTACATTGTGAAGAATCAAAGTTAGACCCAGCTCTCTTCTACTGGCATCAAGGAGATAAACTTGATGGACTGTTCTTGATGCATGTAGATGACTTCCTATGGGCTGGTAGTGACAGGTTCAAGCAAGATGTAATTCTTCCATTACGGATGAAGTTTCATTGTGGAAAAGAGTTAGACTGCAGTTTTCGGTATATTGGACTTGACATTGAGCAAACTGATGGACAGATATACCTGAGCCAAAAGGATTACACAGAAGAAATAAAGCAAGTTGACCGTGATATCCATCCCAATAATGTCAAGAACAACATCTATCCAGAAATTGTTGGTCAGCTTCACTGGATAGCCACACAGAGTAGACCAGATCTTTCGTTTGATGTCCTAGATCTAGCAACCTATTGTGACTTGGGTGATCCCAAACTCCGGACAAAAATCAACAAAGTGGTAAGAAAAGCCTTGTGCAATCAGTACAAGATTGTGTTTTCAAGTTTAGGGAGCATTGAGGACTTTGAACTTATACTCTACACAGATGCTTCCTATGCCAACCTTTCAGATAGATTTTCTAGTGCTGGAGGTTATCTTATCTTCTTAAAAGGGAAGAATGGGAAGTTATGTCCAATAGCTTGGAGTGCAAAGAAGATAAAGCGAGTTGTGAAGAGTACACTTGCAGCTGAAGCCCTATCACTGGTAGATGGACTTGATGCATGTTATTTTGTTAGAAGTATGCTTCAAGAAATGTTCAGAGTAAAAGACATTCCCATTAAATGTTTTACTGATAACAAATCCCTATGTCAGAACATTCACTCAACAAAACTTCTTTCAGAGAAACGTCTCCGTATGGACTTGGCAAGCATCAAGGAGAGTGTCTGCACGGGTGACATAACCGTGACCTGGGTCCACACCAGCAGTCAGATTGCAGATTGCTTGACCAAGACTGGAGCTGACTTCCACCGTTTGATTGACATCTTGAAAACTGGAGTTATGTTATAAGATGATTATGGAATTATATGTGAACATTTACTTAAGTGATATTTTAAGTTTGAATACATGAGAACTTGTTTGTTTTTGCAGACAGATTATTGTTTAATTACAGTTTGTTTTAGTTAATTAAGTAACATTTCTATTATACTGATTTGTGAACTGACTTAATCACCTGTGAAATAATGTGTTGTTAATTGACTTTTATTTCATTTCTATTGTTTTACAATTAACTGTTTGCTCTGAAATATTTTCTTTTCATTTTACTTAAATAGCTTTTTATTATATCCTTTTGTTCCTTTGTACTATTTTATCTTTTTATTGTTTTAGAAAGACAGGGGAATCTGTTAAGTATTGTATCACTGTTGTAACCTTTGTTTAATGTTGTGTTATATATATTCCATAGGTGCTGGAGTCTTCAATAAAGTATAATGAACTCTAAGTGTTATTCAGTTTTACACAAGGCCTAGCCTGATTGGTTGTCGAGTTACTGTTCAAAAACCGTTTTGAAATGCAAGGTCAATATGACCTTGATCTTTGACCCCTTCACCCAAAATCAATGTGGTCATCTACTGGCCAAGACCAATGCACTGTGAAGTTTCAAGGCCAATTGCACCCTGGATGTTAGAGCTGTCATCGATAGTAGGGGTGTGGATCGTCGGATAAGTGATGATCCACGATTCAGCACTTACGATTCACAAATCGAACCATGAATTTTTTTGTTATCAACACACCCTTTAAAATTTAAACATTAGTTCTAAAAACATGTTTATTTTTCTTAAACAATTCTAAACATTAAACATATAAAATCATGCAAATACATGTATAATCTAGGTTAAATTGTGTTTTTTATTCTTGACATGAGTATCTTAATGTATATTTGAGCAACCTATACAAAAGTATTTCAAAACATTGGAAGTAAATTTTGCTGGTGAATTTAGGTAAACATCGCATAATTCATACTCAAATTGTACTTTTTCCCTGACTTTTAGAGGTTGAGAAACAGAAAATGTATATAAACAAATAAGCAGTGACGACAAAATATGGTTAGGAGAAAGTCCTATACAAAGGAAATTTATAAACAGAACATATATTTTACTAGGTATGAAAGTGAATTATATACAACAAATAAGGAGTATACATAAATTGATATATCAGTGTATTGCTGATATTTGTCATCCGATATCAATGTATATTCAATAATTTTCTTTGCTATGAATCAATGACAGCTCTATTGGATGTTAAGTTTTTGGTTGGAAACTGTTTTGGAAAACAAGTTAAATGTGACCTTGACCTCTGACCCATAGACTTGGAAGACAATAGGGGTTAACTACTGGTTATGACTGATCTCCATACCAAGTTTGAGGTTATAGGCCTAGGCATTATTGATCAGAAAAAGTTTGGTCTATGGACCCACCAACGCACCTACAGACAAGTGCAAAGCAATATGCCCCCACTTCTTCTAAGAGAGACAGTCTTAACATAACCTGCAAGAAGCATTGAAACTTCTTCTTTTTCAAATAACTGAAATAAATACACATTCTTTTAACAAGCCTGGTTTTATATTAGGTTTTTGAATAAGAGTTAGATAGATGATCAAGGATCTGCTAAATTACTAATTACAAAGATCTTACCATTTCTGCCTGGTCCAATTACACCCACTGTAATATATAATAAAGTTTATTTTTCCTCTCACTTTACATTGATAAATTCACTACATAGAATTTGAAACTAACATCTCATCTCAGAAAATCTTTTTAAAGTGGAATAGTCTACAAAAAGGCACATTTTCCATAAGCATTTTTAATACTAATAAAAATAAAAAATCAATTTAAATTGGGTATTTGAAAAAATTTGTAAAAAACTTTTTTAAAGTTATAAAAATTAATTTTTAAAAAAAATTTTTTACAAAGCCTGATCACCACCAGGAAAAACTGCTTTTCATTTGAAATTTTCCCCGACAAAATTTTCTGTTTGTTTTTTCATTTACATTTTTTCCCCCAAAAATTTTTAAATTCAAAATAGGCGGGTATTTTCCAAACCACCGTTCTTGGACAGAAATTTAATTTCCCTTTTTCTCCGCCCCCTTAAAACTCCCCAAAGCATCCCCCGGGTTTAAAACCCCACCCCAGAGAGGTAAGGGATTAGAAAAATGGTTTTAGAAAAATTTCAAAACCCTCGCCCCACCGAGGGGGTGACAATTTTTTTTAATTTATCAAAATTTGATTAAAAACAAGTAATTTTTGAAGAAAGCCAAGACCTGGGGCATTTAAGCTTTAGCTAATGAATGGGGCCAATCAAATTAATATGAGCAAACTTGATAAAAGACTAACTAATGCTACAGACAAAGTTTGGTGATCATCTATCAATTAGTTTTGTAGAAATAGACGTTTATAGGTATTTTTATTTTTAGCTTTAGAGGCGCCTAAAAGGGGTCAATCAAATTAATATGAGCAAACTTGATAAAAGACTACCAAAGAATGCTACAGACAAAGTTTGGTGATCATCCATCAATTAGTTCTGTAGAAATAGACGTTTATAGGTATTTCTATTTTTAGCTTAAGTGGCCCCTAAAAGGGGCCAATCAAATTAATATGAGCATACTTGATAAAACACTACCTAAGAATGCTACAGACAAAGTTTGGTGATCATCAATCAATTAGTTCTGCAGAAGAAGATGTTTAAAGGTTTTACATATACTATTTTTAGCCCTAGAGACCCCTAAAAGGGGTCAATCAATTTAATATGAGCAAACTTGATAACAGAGTACCTAAGAATGCTACAGACAAAGTTTGGTGATCATCCATCAATAAGTTCTGTAGAAATAAACATTTAAAGGTATTTCTATTTTTAGCTTTAGCAGCCCCTTAAAGTGGCCAATCAAATAAATACGAGCAAACTTGATAAAAGACTACCTAAGAATGCTACAGACAAAGTTAGGTGATCCATCCATTAGTTCTATAGAAGAAGATGTCTTAAGTTTTTATTTTTCTATTTTTAGCCCTTGAGACCCCTAAAATGCCACACCTAAACTGAGATAACATATTTGCTTTAGCAAAGAGGCCAATCCAATTAATATGAGCAAACTTGATAAAAGACTACCCAAGAATGCTACAGACAAAGTTTGGTGATCATCCATTGATTAGTTCTGTAGAAGATGTTAATGGTTTTTTTTCTATTTTTAGCCCAAGAGACCCCTAAAATTTGATATAACATGAGCAAAATCAAGTGTGACTGTCACAAGGATGCTACAGACCAAATTTGAAGTAAATCTGCACATTAGTTCCAGAGAAGAAGACGATTGTTGACGCATGACGACGGACGCCAGAGCATCCCTCTTTGATACTAAAAGCTCACCCTGAACCTTCGGTTCTGGTGAGCTAAAAAGAAAAATACATTATCTGCTACATATAGACAGTGATTAATCTAGAACCCACATCAAAGACATATAATATCAAGAAAGACACAGATCGGTTTCAAAATATGTGGGTCCCATAGGACGCATGATAATCTTATGGTTTGTAGCCCAGAATATCAAAGTCTTTTCTAAATAGTTTTATCTGTTTCATTTCATCAATTAAATAATTAAATCTCAGACAATTGCAAATGCAAGGCCCACTCAGAATCAGGACAGAAAATATTAAATCCCAGGCAATTGTTGCTCGACTTTTTCAATTCATGAACACTTCCTGCTCATTATCAGGGATGGAAAATGCATGATTTGCCAATCAACACATCATTATGATGTGGTACACATTTATGCCAAGTTATTTTTAAAATCCTTCAATGCACAACAAAGTTACAGTCCAGACCAAAATATGTACCTTCAAACTCTTCTTGTGAGAATGAGAAACATTCAAACTTAAAGTGTGACCTTCACCTTTAAGGTAGTGACATAGACTTTATATGTGACACATCCTCTTGATGTGGTAGACATTTGTGCCAAGTTATTTTAATATCCTTCTATACTTGACAAAGTTACAAGAATGTGTTACCTTCAAACTCATCTTTTAAGAGTGAGTACCTTCAAATTATAAATTGCAATTGACCTTGGAGGTAGGGACATGGGTCATGGTCAATTTCCTTCCATGCATGACAAATAACAATTCGAAAATACAAATGTGTGAACATGTACCTTTAAACTCTGTATTTGAACCTTAACATGTTAGTGTGACCTCAACTTCTTAGGAAATGACATGGGTCTTAGATGCAACACATCCTTATGATGTGGTACACATTAATGCCAAGTTATTTTAAAATCCTTCCATGTATGACAAAGTTACATTCTGAATATGAATGTTGTGTTAGTGGGGTGGACAATGCGATTTGAACATGACAGGCTTTGAAGGCATAGAAATACATGAAGATGTAGATGTCACATCATTGTGCCTGTTAAAGGTCTGCTGTTAAATATGTATTTTGTTCTTATGAGACTCATTTATTTTGCTACGGGACTTATTGTTTTCAAATGTGCATCCTGGGACTCATAATAATGAATTTCTAGATTAATCACTGTATTGATACATGTCATATCAAATCATACATTCAAACAACACTAATACATTAATCTTTGTGGTATGTTGTCTTATTTAATCCTTAACATTATGAACATAATTATTTATGGTTTTACAAACCAAAAACATCCCACGTTATAAATTGTATAACTTTTTATTTCCAAGTTCTGAACAGACATTGACATAGGCACTTAATAAATAATTCAGGGCAATAAACATTTTTTATTTAGGAATCCCATGGGATCTAAAAATGTTGTACATTTCCTAGCAATGATATTTACAGTCCAACCCCGTTTATTCGAAGTGCCTGGGACTGAATATTTACTTCGAATAATCGATGGGTTTGATTAATCGAAAATCGAATATTGTGATAGACGAAAACTACTCCACTTTGACCAATCATAGCAAAACTACCATTTACAACACACTTACTTCCTGTAATCAATTGAGATAAATAAATATTAAAGAAAAAATGCGTAAAAATTATTGTATTGACATTGAAGACATAAATACTTGCATTTTATTCTACATTATGTATCGTTTTGTTTCGCTCAAAGCCTTAATAATAGCCGTGTTATCACTACGGTATTTACAGCTAAACTCTGGTATTTTCGATTAGGATAAAAGCTTTCATGTAGCGTTACAATTAATGACAAAAATGTTTTTGATGTTTTAACAAATTTACATATACGGTATGTATGGAAATTATTGCTGTCATCTTCAAGCAATAACAGTAACAAAATCGGACACGGTGCATAGCTTTTCATTTTCGGTAATTAAAGTTGGACGCACAAAGAGTTATTATCATGATTGTCTAAATACACGCATGGCTGTTAATATTTTTCACAAGTCGACCGGTCAGCGAGTGGATCTGCGCCAATTAGTCTGGCTTCGATTAATAATTAGGTTGGCTTCGAATAATAGGTGTGAAATTCTTTCATAATTGTATAATCGGGACCGAAATTTTACTTAGGAGGTATTCGGATAATGCATTTCGAATAATACACTCGTACTTATATTGATTTATATAGAGATAAAAACGGGACCGCTGATTTACTTCGGATAATGCCGGGTATTCGAATAAAGGGTTGTCGAATAACCGGGGTCGGACTGTATTTGAAATTTCATTCAAATATGTGTAACCATTTCTTACACTGTTTGCTATTGACTAAACAAAACAATAATATTCCAAATGGTGTAATAGTAATACATCAACAATAAGAAAATTCTTAAGTTTAGAGATTAGATAATTTGATACAATTTTCATTTCATAAAGTTAAAACTGATACTGAGGAAATCATGAAAAACCTAAACTAATTTAAACAAGCAATTATCATAGTATTGCAAGCAATCCATAAGTCCCCTGCCAGTTAGAACCCCAGCAACATTCTGAAAGGACATTGGCCATTCACTTATGTCTCTAATTTTAGTAAATTTCTTGAAAAAGTTCTTTTAAAGTGATCACAGGAAGCAGTTTTATGTACAGACAGACAGATGGAATGAAGGACACTCTAAAGTTATTTTTTTAAAATATAACATTTTTAAAAGCAAAATTCTTAAAAAGGAGATAACTCTTGAAATAAAGATGCAATACGTCATACACGATGTGAGTGTAACAAAGAACAATTAGTAATGAAGGTGTTGATAATGAATGTTTATTTTGAATTTGAAGTAGAAGAAAGTTAACAAAAAAACAAAAACAAAAAAACAACAAAAAATTCATGAAAAGTTCAAGGGAGAATATTCTGATAAATTTTGTGCAAGAGTTGTAAACCTTGTCACATATGATGTGGTTGCTGACTAGAAACTTATATTTAAAGTTTGAAGAAAATACCTTAAGTAATAAAGAACTTATAGTGAAAAAAAAAAACGTAAAAAATTGAATCAGAAATCTTGAAATTCAGTCTATTTGTTGCCATAGCAACCAGAATTTTCAACATAGGAAGAAAAAAATAGGATGTGCATAATTTCCAGACTGCCACCTACCCATATTTCAAGTTTCATAAAAATATTTTCAGTACTTTTTGCATTATCACCGGATCGAGGTTATGTGTAAAATTTGCCATATTTTCAGTCTATTTGTTGCCATAGCAACCAGAATTTTTAACATAGGAAGAAAAGAAAAAGACGTGCATAATCTCCATACTGCCATCTATCCATATATCAAGTTTCAAAAAAATATTTTCAGTCCTTTTTGCGTTATCACTGGATCCAGGTTATGTGTAAAATTTGCCATATTTTCAGTCTATTTGTTGCCATAGCAACCAGAATTTTCAACATAGGAAGAAAAGAAAAAGACGTGCATAATCTCCATTCTGCCATCTATCCATATATTAAGTTTCATAAAAATATTTTCAGTACTTTTTGCGTTATCGCGGGATCCAGTTTTGTGGACGGACGGACAGACGGATGGACGGACAGAGGGTAAACCTAAAGTCCCCTCCGGTAAACCGGTAGGGGACTAAAAAAGAAAGACTTACATAGGACTAGGATAGTTAAGACAATAGCTGTAACTGCAACTATAGAGGGAATCACAACAAAAGCTATAGCTGAATTAAGTATCCAATCCTCGCAATCTGAAATAATAAGAATATGAAAATGTTTGTAGTTCTTATGACATGTTTTGTACAAACGACTCATGTGGACAGAGATCATAAGGTGGTCTTATACATTAATACTTATACATGTGCAATTTCAAAGTTAGACAAACATTTCAACAAAAGTATGAGTGTCGAAACAAAAACAAAAATCATTTTGAGTTGAATGTTGGGGAGTTAATGAACAGAAAATGAAAATTTCATTTTTTTTCCAAGTTTAAGAGGCATAACTTTGTCGAAAATCATTCAAACTATGAACAAATTCAAATTTGACCTGGGCATTCCTTTGATATATCAGATATCCATATGTTAAAATTGAGTTGAATGTGTACAACTGTTGGGGTAGTAATGAAATGAAACTGAAAATTTCTTATTTTCTTCAAAGTTCAAGAGGGATAACTCTGTCAAAAATCATTGATCCATGGCCAAATTGTAACCTTACCTGCGCATTGATATAAGATATTCATGTTTTTAATTTGAGTTGAATGTGTACAACTGTTTGGGAGACAATGAATGGAGGGATAACTATGTCAAAAATCATCAAACCATGACCAAATTCAAATAGGGGAGATGAACAGGAACTGGGAACTTTCAATGGTCAATTATCTACATTTCCTTATTGTATGTATTGTATTGTATGCATACATACAAATCAAAATTAAAGAATTATATTTCTAGAATCAATTTAATATTAGAAAGTCTGGCAATTGGTCATTATAAGTATAGAATAAAGTATTTATATATTAATCAATAATACAAAAATTTACATCAAAGCTTTGATCTTACCTTTACAATCATCATCAGCTAGAACACTTGCACTTAATGCTAAGCTTATTATATCAAATACAATACATAGGACAGCAACAGTCAGGCAAACAGGTTTAGAAAAATCTGAAATAATAATATTTTCAAATCAGCTTTCATATTTGAAACAAGATTGCATTTGAGAAAAATGCTATGCCACCGCATTAATACAACACTAAATAGTAGTGTAGGAACAGATTTTCTTTGTTTCTATACAATTTTGAAGATTGTCATAATGCATAGATCCCTGACCTATCTAATTCTTATTATCAGATTAGTGGTTAAATCTGTTGTTAACTCAATAAAAGATCAGAGTAGGAATATATCAATGCACTTGAGTCTAGTGAATTTGGTGGTAAAGGTCATATTTCACACAGCCTAAATTTCATGACTACATCAAAGGACAACATAGTAAGACACTTTGTCAAAATCTAGGTCAGCTGAAATCAAAGTTCACTTAACATCTTAATCTGTACACATGGTTCAAATTTCATAGCTGTACATCAAAGGACAAGAAAGTAGGTCACATCATCAAAATCTAGTTCACCTGATATCAAAGTTCAATTTTACAACTAAAACTGTGCACATGGTCAAAATTTCATTGCTGTACATTAAAGGACAAGAAAGTAGGTCACTGTCCCCTTGGGCAAGGCAAAATTTTGGACCCAAGGGTTTAATTCAAAACAATCTTGATACAGGTCCACCAAACAACATTTCAAGTCAAATATCTAAGCTGTAGCTTTCTCCTATTCAGAAAAGATTAGTTTTATTTTCTGTTTTTACTATGTGAACATAATGAGAATCACTGCCCCTGGGCAGGGCCAATTTTAACACTAGGGGCATAATTAAAACAACTTTAGTAGAGAACCCATAGAATATATTATAGAGCAAACATCAAAGCTCTATGCCTTGTACCTTCAGACAAAAATATTTCTTTTTTTTTTTACTATATGTACATAGTAAAAATCAATGACTCCTGGGGGTGGGGCCAATTTTGACCCCAGGGCTATAATGTGTACAATCTTGCTAGAGGTTCACTACATAATGTTTCATGCAAAATATCTTAACTCTAGCCTTTGTTAATTTAGAGAAGATGATTTTTTAAGTTTTTACTATATACATATAAGGAAAACCTATGGCCCATGGGGCGGGGCTAATTTTGACACAAGAGGCAAAATTTGAACAACTTTGGTAGAGTACCTATAGATGATATCATTTAACAAATATTCAAGCTCTAAGCCTTGTATCTTAAGACAATAAGATTTTTTTTATTTTTTACTATATGTATACATTGAAAATCAATGACCCCGGGGCAGGGGCAATTTTGACCCCAGGGCTATAATTTGAACAATCTTGCTAGAAGTTCACTTCACAATGTTTCATGCAAAATATCTAACCTCTAGCATTTGCTAGAAGAAATTTTTTTACTATAAAGTTTTTTCTATATACATATAAGGAAAACCAATGACCCCAGGGGCAGGGCCGATTTTGACCCCAGGGCTATAATTTGAACAATCTGAGTAGAGGTCTACCAGACAATGCCTTATGCAAAATATCTAAGCTCTAGGCCTTTTGGGTCTTTACAAGAAGGTATTTTAAGTTTTTACTATATGTACATATAGTGAAAATCAATGACCCCCGGGGCAGAGCTGATTTTGACCCCAGGGCTATAATTTGAACAATCTTGGTAAGGGTCTATCAGACAATGCCTTATGCAAAATATCTAAGCTCTAGGCCTTTTGGGTCTTTACAAGAAGTTATTTTAAGTTTTTACTATATGTACATATAGTGAAAATCAATGACCCCCGGGGCGGGGCCGATTTTGACCCCATGGTTATTATTTGAATAATCTTTGGTAGAGGTCTACCAGACAATGCCTTATGCAAAATATCTAAGCTCTAGGCCTTTTGGGTCTTTACAAGAAGTTATTTTAAGTTTTTACTATATGTACATATAGTGAAAATCAATGACCCCCGGGGCAGGGCCGATTTTGACCCCAGGGTTATAATTTGAACAATCTTGGTAGAGGTCTACCAGACAATGCCTTATGCAAAATATCTAAGCTCTAGGCCTTTTGGGTCTTTACAAGAAGATTTTTTAAATTTATTCTTATAATTCCTTTTGGTTGCCATGGCAACCAGATTTCTGCATGGAATGAAATTCTTTGAACAACTTTGGAAGCCCTTCACCCAAGGATCAATCCTGCCAAGTTTGGTTGAAATTGGACAAGTGGTTTTTCACAAGAAGATTTTTTAAGTTCACTATATAATCTATATAACACACACACACACACACACAAACAAACACACAGGTGAATCGCTATATGCCACCGCATCGCAAATGCTGCGGTGGCATAAAAATAATAAACAATATTGTTACAGCCATCTGGTGCATTTAGAAATAATCAAGACAGTGTAAAGTTTTATAGGTAAGATAAGATTAAACTTTCCTAGTGTTCAGAACTTAAATAACAAGTTATTATGTATAGTCACTGTAAATCTTTAAAAAGACAGAATTTCTTTAAGCAATTTTCTGCAAATATTGTCTAACAAGAAATCTACCAAAATACATAAAAAGTTTTGTTTAGTATCTTCTACAAAACTAATATTGCATTTTCTAAATTTAATGTTTCCCAATACAGAAATTTCAGTCAAGATTATTAAGAGAGCTGCATTTCCAATATTATGTTCAGAAAACCATTGTTTCCCTAAAGTTTTTGAAGGAGATCCACAAAATAAAACGCTATTTTCAAAGCTATTGGTAGGAATCATTTCATGGACATAAAAGACATGCTTAAACTTAATTATGTCTTCTTTATCCTACTCACTATAATGTTAGCTGAAATGAGATGAGAAAGAGCTGACTTACCTTTCAAAATGCCAATAATAACAACAACAAGAGCTATTATGCCAAAGATGCCAAATACTATACTAGCAATAACACAATCTTCACAATCCTTTGGGCAAACTGAACCTAGAAATAAACATTGTTAGAAAATTCATATAATTTTATCATAAAGCCACAATAAAATCTATACTTTTGATCAACCCTGGAATATTTTCGGCTGATCTGATGGGGGGAGGGGTTTAAAAGCTTTATGATGCAATACTTGGCTTACATGCATTTCAATTAATAGTCATAAATTATAGTACAATGTAATTGCTAAAAATATAATGAATAGATGAATGACAATTGTCTATAATGATAATAGTTTCATAATGATAGTGTCAACATGTCTTCCTTTATCACACACCCGTGCCGATTTTGGGACTCCGTAAATAGGGTATTGCACGGCCGTGCATATATTTATTTACGTGATGTTATACAAACATAGTGTAAAGACACGCTGAATGTTTGTGTTATACTATAGGCGCGTCAATGAAAAATGACTCTTATTTCACATTAAACGGTATTTACTTTGGGTATGTGATAAAAAGAATATTTAAGTTGTGTAAGTTCAATACTGAATTTATTGCACTCGTTGAATAAAATAATATTATGCTCGCCAGAGGCTCGCATAATATAATTTTATTCAACTTGTGCAATAAATTCAGTATTGAACTTACACTCATTCAATATCCTTTATTTAGTAAATAGTTTTGTCACAATTTTGCTAACATGCATGTGCAATTAGAGGTAAAACATATAAAACATCTAATTTGTTGGATAACAAGAGCCATTGCCAGGTAGGGGCAACCCTAGACTATTTTACTTTGTCTTTAAACAAAACAAGCAAGACATGTCACTGAATGCCCCAAAAAAGAAGCTTTGACATAAAATCTGCAATATATACCAAAATACCGATAACATATGCCCGATTGCCTTTGATAAATATCATTCCTAAAATTTCAAACATATAACTCTGGCAGCCATTTTGTGCAGCGGAGCGGAATGTGTGGGCTATTATGCACAACTAGGAATTGTATTGATCACTCCTGTGGAAGTTCATTGAAACTCCGCCCGCAGTTAGACCTGTGAAAGCCGGACAAGATTTTTCTATTCATAGCTCTGGGGGCCATTTTGTGCAGCTAAGCTGAAGGTGTCGGCTATATTCACAACTAGGGATAGTACTGCTCAATTCTCTGAAGTTTTATTATAATTCCATTAGCAGTTAGACCTGTGAAAGCCGGACAAGATTTTTCTATTCATAGCTCTGGAGGCCATTTTTTGCAGGGAATCAGAAGGTGCAAGTGATATGAACACATAAGGGATGGTACTGATCACTCCTGTGATGTTTCACGGAAAATTCATAAACTGTTTTGGAGATGAAGCGTGGACAAGATTATCAGAAGGACAAACGGAAGGACAGACAGTGCGATTACTATATGCCGCCCTTCTGGGGCATTAAAAACAACAAGAATTTATCATAGTATTACAAGTGTAATAGATGACCAAATTTACTTTATATAAGTACAATACTTCTATTTATTTCTGATATATTAATTTCCATTATGCTAGTACTGATACTTGAAACACTATACGATCACTTTTGAAACACTATACGATCACTTTTCTTGTTTAAAGTTAGGCAATATTATTACGCTTCTAAACAATAAGTATTTGGAATCATTTGGCACTTTTGCCAACTTAAATTTATCCCATTCTGTATGTTAATTTCTATTAACAAGTGTCCTGTTAATTAACACGTTTATGACGTCACTTTATGACGTCAAACTTGAACGAACACTTGGACGTGAAGGTTTGACGTCATAAAAGACGAGAAGCGCTCTGACCACCATTGCGGTAAGCTGTTGTTTTCATTTCTCGGAAGTTTTCCGATTTTCTTTTATTTCCCCTACCTTATTTATTTTATATGTATGTTAATTATGAAATATAATGACTTAAATATTTAATACAATTTATAAAACTTACATTTGCCTTTATTATCATTTCTTTTGTTTAATTTACACAAACAGTCCTGTGATATCGAACCGAAAGACTGTTCCCCGTTTACACAAGCAATTTATAAGTCCCCTACTGGTAAGAACCCCAGCAATATTCTGAAGGGCTATTGAACATTCAATTATGCCATTGAATGAAAGAATGATATGAATGAACTTTAATCTTTTTAGTGTATCATAGTAATGTGTCAATGCCTAGTAAGGAAATCATGGTTATACAACAGATAATCAAAAGATCTAATTTTCTCAAGATAAATATGTACAGAAAAAAACTGTTTATAGTGACCTTCGATGGGAGAAAAGAAAAAAGGTCATAATAGACAGGGAGTCACTGTGGACAGTCTCTACATAATTAGAATATATGAACATATTTTGCCAATATTTTGTTTTAAAGCAGGATAGTAACATACTTAACCCTTTCCCCCATGAGCATATTGTGAAAAATGGCCGTTTTCACTGAAAAGCCTCCTGTTACAAGTTCAAACTGCTATGAAACTATGAAAAATGCTTCAATACTAATCAAACTTGGCACAAATGTTGACTGGACCATTGCCTTTGTAACTACATGCTCAGTCTTTAATTTCCTGTTACCATGGCAACGAGGGGACATCTCAAAATTGCCAAAAATCACTATTTTGTCTCGATTTTTCCCATCAAAATTTATTTCAAAGTGCTGCAACTGTTCAAGGGATTGAGATAGAGTCAAAGGCTTTTCAGCGATGGTTAAACGTTACATTATGATTGACCTGGGGTCATTTTTACCCTCTCACAAGTCCAAAATTTTCTTGGCGATGAGGGGGACTCCGCCCCCCCTTCAAACCCCCCTAACAGAAGGGGGCACATCCCCCTTCTGGCAACCCCCTGATGTATCTTTTGGATGGGGGGCGGCGCCGAAAAAGTGCTCAATTTTTTAAGCAACATTTCTCAAAACGAAAACTTATGTTTTGGGTCCAAATAGGACCTTTTTTCACTATTTGAGGCCTTAAAAAGGGGGGGGGGGGGGTCGAAAGTGCGTTGTTTCGCGTGTATATGTGGTAAAGGGTTAAGAGTTTGATCATATTTTTCATTTATATTATACATACATTAAACAATTACCACATAAAAAAATTATCATTTATAAAAACAAGACAGTATAAAAATTGCATGTATAATTGGTTAAGATTATGAAATACACTATAACATTAGTATTTAAAAGTTACATATTGACTAAAAATGTAATTTGTATTGATAAATCTGTTCATAAAAAAAAATTGTTTTAAAATTTCATTTTACTAATAACATACCCTTTCTACAATAAAAACCTATATAGTAGAATAAAAATGAATAAAGGTTTAGGATTCTGTATGATGTACATTTATTAATAATTGTTTGGAGAAAATGGTGTTTAATTTGTTTGAAAACTTTAGTTAAACTTTTTATGTACAAATTATTCTGGTTTCCCAAACTGTAATATTTACCTTTTTATGTCCTTAACTTTTATTTTTGCCTTGCTTACCTCATCTTTTTATTTCACTTTCTTACTTCCTTAAAGCCCCATTATGCCTCAGATATGCTTTAATTTTAATTTCTTAAAAACTTTTAATTTTTTGGTAACCCCATTCGAGTTACTCCCCTTGCAAATGTCGCTTTGCAAGGCTTATATAACTTAACGGGAGACGCTAAATCATGGTTGTTGTACGGACTAGACAGGGAATCGCTACATACAGACCATTTATATAGTAAATACTGTTTGGTGCACCAAACTATGGTCACTTAAGACAGAATGACGCTATATACAGGGGGTCACTAAGACAATCTTAACTGTATAAGAAATGTTTCAACTTTTCTCTCTCTTTTTAAGTCATTTTGTTGGAAAAGTTATGTTTAATTAAGTGATCTCTAAGGACAGTTTTTAGAAACAGACAGACAGACACTCTGCAAGAAAATCTTTATTATATCCCTGATTGCTACCAGAATATTACAGTTTTAAAAGCAAAATTCTTTAACTTTAGAGGAGATAACTCTTGAAATAAAGTTTCTAGACTTAGGAACATTGTCATACATGATGGAGTGTAACAAAGAACAATTATCTTAAGTTTAAAGAAGATTATCATTTATAGTCACAATGAAGAAAAGTGAAACAAGGCAGTCTGACAGCTAAATCCCCTTCAGCAGCCAACATGAATATGTTTACTTCTTGTCCTTTAACCAACCAGCACATAGTCCGATGATAGTACATGTAATTATTTGTGCAAAGTTATTTAAAATTTTCCAAAAAGTCAAAAAGTTATGGAGAACATAATAACCCTGACATTAGTGGTAGCAATCTGGATGTAACTTTGGGGAAATACCTGAATGTTGTGCTAAATCTTAAAACTGATATCACAAAGTTCATATTTGTTTCTAACAAAATGCATGATTGTGTATAGACATGACTTATTGCTATTATTATAAAGATTTGTACAAATAAGGAAAATCAATGACCACCTGGGGTGGGGCCAATTTTGATCCAAGCCCTTTTAATTGAACACAATTTGTAGACATTGACTATAAGATGTTTCATGCTAAATACTGTAAAACACTTATTTTTCGCGAGAACCTTATTTCGCGAATTTGAGGCAAAATGTCCAAAATAATTATTTCGCGTCAACATGAATTCGCGTCTTCCCGAAAAATGTGAAACCGGAAACCAGAGGTCATTCAGATATTTTCTGTCCTGTCCGTTCACTAAATTTGCATCGTTTATTGTGCGACGAATGCATTTATAACTGTATCGATTTTTCTGATAGCTTGCTAATATTCTTGTTAAGTGAAACCGTCTGTCTAAAAATGTGTCAATAAAGTTTGATAATTATTTGATATGTGTTCACTGTGTTTGTCATGTATTACTGATTAGCCATTCAAAGGCAAGCAGACGAAAATCAATTAAACGGTACTGTAATTTGCCTAACCTGTAGTAAACGATTATGTTTACCCTCCGGCTTAAACTGTAGTACAATACAATAAGATACAATAAATAGATATGTTACAAACAACTCGCAGGTGCTAAATTATTTGTACCAAATACCGAAACAGTTATTCTGAAAATCGTAT